ACTAACACAACTAAGTCAATAATTTATGTTCCTAATACAATAATAATTCAAATAAACTATTTGGAAACAGTTTATTGAAAATAAAGAAAATCACTCAGCTTATTAGGCAAATCGGGTCTTGCATAATAGTCCAAGAAATGCGTTCTGGCTACTAGGTATATATATATATATATATATATATATATATATACCTAGACGAGTCCAAGAAATGCGTTCTGGCTACTAGGTATATATATATATATATATATATATATATACCTAGTAGCCAGAACGCATTTCTTGGACTATTATGCAAGACCCGATTTGCCTAATAAGCTGAGTGATTTTGTTTATTTTCAATAAACTGTTTCCAAATAGTTTATTTGAATTATTATTGTATTAGGAACATAAATTATTGACTTAGTTGTGTTAGTTTAGGTTAGGTTAAGATGGGTTAGGTTAGGTTAGGTAGGTTAGGTTAGGTTAGGTTAGGTTAGGTTAGGTAGGGTTGGTTAGGTTCGGTCATATATATACGTTAGTTTTAACTAAAATTTAATCAAATTAACTTATACATAATGAAATGGGCAGATTTATTATTTCATAAGAAAAAAATTAGAAAAAATATATAAATTCAGGAAAACTTGGCTTATTAGGCAAATAGGGCCTTGCAAAGTAGGGCAAGTACTGCGTTCTGGCTACTAGGTACAACATATATATATATGTATATTATATATATGTATATATATTATATATTTTTATATATATATATATGTCGTACCTAGTAGCCAGAACGCACTTCTATGCCTACTATTCAAGGCCCGATTTGCCTAATAAACCAAGTTTTCATGAATTAGTATATTTTCTCTAATTTTTTTCTTATGAAATTATAAAGCTACCCATTTCATTACGTATGAGGTCAATTTTTTTTTATTGGAGTTAAAATTAATTTAGATATATGACCGAACCTAACCAACCCTACCTAACCTAACCGAACCTATCTTTATCTGTTAGGTTAGGTTAGGTAGCCGAAAACGTTAGGTTAGGTTAGGTTAGGTAGGTTAGGTAGTCGAAAAATAAATAATTCATGAAAACTTGGCTTATTAGGCAAATCGGGCCTTAAATAGTAGGCTGAGAAGTGCATTCTGGTTACTAGGTACGACATTATATATATATATATATATATATATATATATATATATATATATATATATATATAATGTCGTACCTAGTAACCAGAATGCACTTCTCAGCCTACTATGCAAGGCCAGATTTGCCTAATAAGCCAAGTTTTCACGAATTAATTGCTTTTCGACTGCCTAACCTACCTAACCTAACCTAACTTTTTCGGCTACCTAACCTAACCTAACCTTTAAAGATAGGTTAGGTTAGGTTAGGTTAGGTAGGGTTGGTTAGGTTCGGTCATATATCTACGTTAATTTTAACTCCATTAAAAAAAAATTGTCCTCAAACATAATGAAATGGGTAGCTTTATCATTTCATAAGAAAAAAATTATAGAAAATATATTTATTCAGGAAAACTTGGCTTATTAGGCAAATCGGGCCTTGCCTAGTAGGCTGAGAAGTGCGTTCTGGCTACTAGGTACGACATTATATATATATATATATATATATATATATATATATATATATATATATATATATATATATATATATATATATATATATATATATATATGTCGTACCTAATAGCCAGAACGCACTTCTCAGCCTACTATGCAAGGCCCGATTTGCCTTATAAGCCAAGTTTTTCTGAATTAATATATTTTCTCTACATTTTTTCTTATGAAATGATAAAGCTACCCATTTCATTATGTATGAGGTCAATTTTTTTTATTGGAGTTAAAATTAACGTAGATATATGACCGAACCTAACCAACCCTACCTAACCTAACCTAAGCTATCTCTATAGGTTAGGTTAGGTTATGTAGCCGAAAAAGTTAGGTTAGGTTAGGTTAGGTTAGGTAGGTTAGGTAGTCGAAAAACAATTAATTCATGAAAACTTGGCTTATTAGGTAAATCGGGCCTTGCATAGTAGGCTGAGAAGTGCGTTCTGGCTACTAGGTACGACATATATATATATATATATATATATATATATATATATATATATATATATATATATATATATATATATATATATACACACACACACACACATACATACAGAGAGAGAGAGAGAGAGAGAGAGAGAGGGGGGGGGGCGGAGACCCCCAAGAATAACTCCTCTGATGACATCACAGTCGGATCGAACACACTTACAGTCCCACACGAGAGCCAATATGGCTGCCATCGTTCACCACATTACCTGTCCTCACACCTATCATTATCAATTTTACGTTCAACTGGAGTTCTGCCACTACACCCCCTCCCCCCCCCTTGGCTCTTCCAACACTGCCCCCTCGTCCCCCTGGCCCTTCCAACACTGCCCCCCCCCCCCCCTGGCTCTTCCAACACTGGCCCCTCCACCACTGGCCCTTCCAACACTGCCCCCCTCCACCCCTGGCCCTTCCAACACTGCCAACTCCACCCCTGGCCCTTCCAATACTGCCCCCTCCACTCTTGTCCCTTCCAACACTGCCCCCCTCCACCACTGGCCCTGTAACACCATAAATGGTTGTATATAATATTTCACATACAGTGAGAATCCGTCACACAGGATATTGGCGGCGCCAGGGTGTCGGCCTTGAGCATTTCCAAGTCACACCTTTCAAGTGTGAATTGTTCCCAGGGTGAGTAGAGGTCAGGTCGCATCATGTGACCTCTCTCTCTCTCTCTGCTAAGCTGATAATTGCTGAGTGGTGGCTGTGCTCACTCCATCAAACAAGCCGCTATCTAGGTGTGGGAGTAAGATAGCGCAGAGGCTATATTTCCTGGTAGGCGGAGTTTAGCTCCTGGTTCCCTCCTTAAATACTAGTGGAACTTTACATTTGAGTTAGATACCCACAGGGAGAGAGGAGTCTCGTTAGGTCTATATGGGGGCCTGATGGTAAAGTGGACAGCGCCCGGGATTCGTAGTCCTAAGGTTCCGGGTTCGATCCCTGGCGGAGGTGGAAACAAATGGGCTATTTCTTTAACCCCTGATGCTCTGTTCACCTTGCAGTAAATAGGTACCTGGGAGTTAGACAGCTGCTATGGGCTGCTTCCTGGAGATGTGTAACAAAAAGGAGGCCTGGTCGAGGAATTGGCCGCGGGGACGCTAAGCCCCGATATCATCTCAAGATAACCCTCAAGATAGGTCTACACAGGCCTGTCCCAGGTCAGTGTGGACTGTCAGTCAGCCCTCCTTGCTACCCATCTTACAATCAGAGACTTTGATGAGAGAGTGTATAAGGCTGACGTATATTTTCGGTGTTTTCCAATTTAATAAGTGCTGTGTAATTTTCAGGCCCAGTCAGCCGTAGTTGCTCTCAATTTCTCGTGTAATGACTAATTCTGCATTAACTTTGACATTTGAACATCAAGTTATATGGTTGAATTATGATACCCGTAAGAGTGAATATATAATAATAAATATCTATCTTGAGGTTATCTTGAGATGATTTCGGGGCTTTAGTGTCCCCACGGCCCGGTCCTCGACCAGGCCTCCACCCCCAGGAAGCAGCCCGTGACAGCTGACTAACACCCTGATTATCTAACTGATTATCTTTTTAAATTGTCCATAATTCTGATCCCTAGATCTTGGAGAGTGGAAGCTAGAGTGGAGATCACTCTCAAGTACACTTGCTGAAGAGAATGAGGATAAGATTCTTGACTATGTGAGTTAAATGTTTACAGTTGTTACGTGATAACACCAGATAATATTGTGGAACAGAAGAGTTCCATTTCTGCCCCCCCCCCCCACCCTCCCATCCATCTTGAATGGATGGTGGCAGCACCTTCTACCTCCCCTGGAAACACAAACCGAAACTGTCTCTATTTTCCGCTTGTTACAACTTGTAATAAAGTTGTTACATCTTGGCTTAACGTGTTTATGACGTATTAGAACGTTGTTACAACTTGCTATATTGGTTGTTATAACTGGTTAGGAGGTGTTAAAACTTGTTCGAACGTTGTACTAACGTCGTAGTTTCGGTGTGTGTTTGTCGGGTCTTTCCTTCCCTCCCCTCCCATTTTCTCTCATTCTAAACTTTCCCTTTCTCTTGACCACTATTCCTCACCCCTCCCTTCTACCTCTCTACCTTCTTCACTCCATGAGTTTTCTCTCCTTCTTTTTTCAATTTCCGATACGTTACAATGGTGGTGTTACAGCCCTTCCAACACTGCCCCCTCCAAACCTGGCCCTTCCAACACTGCCCCTCCAACCTGGCCCTTCCAACACTGCCCCCTCCAAACCTGGCCCTTCCAACACTGCCCCCTCCGAACCTGGCCCTTCCAACACTGCCCCCTCCGAACCTGGCCCTTCCAACACTGCCCCCTCCGAACCTGGCCCTTCCAACACTGCCCCCTCCGAACCTGGCCCTTCCAACACTGCCCCCTCCGAACCTGGCCCTTCCAACACTGCCCCCTCCAAACCTGGCCCTTCCAACACTGCCCCCTCCACCACTGGCATGATCACACCTGAAAATCACACATAACAGCAAAATATCTTCCTATAATCACATAAAGACACTATCTATAATCCCGTTAAAAGAACTGTAACCTCTGTAATCAACCATATCTCCCCAGTACTCACTACAGCAGGATTACAGATCACTGGTGACAGGTGTGCTTTACATACCTGCGGAAAGAAAATGTTTTCAAAATTAAAGTAATTTCTTTGATATTTTTTTTTTTAGCAAAAAATGGGACATTGGAAAAATGAATATTGTAAAAAAAAAAAAAGGAAATTTTCAAACAGGACATTTGCAACATAAAAGTATGTACTCGTATATCGGAATAAAATTATATATTGCAATAATTCTATATATATTACATTGCAAGAATTCCACTTACAATTAAATATTCATGTACTGATTATTATTGTATATATATTATATATATAATATATATAATTTGTATTTATGCAGTCTGAAATATCCGAATCTAGTCTACACATTGAGCAAAGCCCCGTCGACACCCACAGGGCCCCGTCGACACCCACAGAGCCCCGTCGACCCCCACAGAGCCCCGTCGACACCCACAGGGCCCCGTCGACACCCACAGGGCCCCGTCGACAGCCACAGAGCACCGTCGACACCTACAGGGCCCGACGACACCCACAGAGCCCCGTCGACAACCACAGAGCCCCGTCGACAACCACAGAGCCCCGTCGACACCCACAGAGCCCCGTCGACACCCACAGAGCCCCGTCGACACCCACAGAGCCCCGTCGACACCCACAGAGCCCCGTCGACACCCACAGAGCCCCGTCGACACCCACAGGGCCCCGTCGACACCCACAGAGCCCCGTCGACACCCACAGAGCACCGTCGACACCTACAGGGCCCCGACGACACCCACAGGGCCCCGACGACACCCACAGGGCCCCGTCGACACCCAAGAGTTCTCCCTGAAGAACCCATTTTCTATGTCAACAACGGGGAAACTCACAAAGGACATAACCCATCATAAACAAATTCAAACTTATCACCTAAACGTCAAAGTACATATAACGACTATAGTGAAATGTACAAAATATGTAATGTTGCAACGGAAAAGTATTTTTGTACTATTTGAAAAGGCGATATAAGCAAAAAAAGCCTAGCTTTTCTCTAAGGAGAATTTCTAATTACTAAGATTTCTGTCCTATTTAAACCAGACAGTTCGGCTCCATTTTCTAAAGACATTTCTGACCTATTTTTTCCCCAGTAAAGTCCCATTTACCCAGGCAGTTCTGCCCTATTTTGGGGAAAACCTCGTGTTAGACGTCGGACTTATTTCCCAAGTCTGACGTTATGACTAATTGTATTATTTATATAAATAGTATATATACAATTATTTATCATAAATTAATCAAATTTAAATTTAAAATTAATAATTTTAAATTTAAAATTAATAATTTTAAATTATAATATATAATTTAAAACCATTTTAATTGAAATTATATTTATAATTAAATTTATTAAATTAATAATTATACAATTATAATTTTTCAGTTTATTAAAACTTATTCAAATTTACACAATTTAATACAGTTATATAAAACTCGTCTGATAATAACAATTATAGTTTTAAAATTAAATATCAATTTGAATTAAAATAACTCTTATACCAATAATATAATTAATAATATAACTAATACTTATATATTAATATAATATATAAATGTAATTATTAAATTAAAATGACGACAGCAATGGGAGAAGAAATGTTTTCCTCTCCACTGTAAACAGGTGCGAATGAGAGCCCTAATGAATAGGAGAGGAAAAGGTTGAGAACGAAGAGTGAGAAACATTTGAACCCCTCTGTCTGTCTGTCTGTCTGTCTGTCTGTCTGTCTGTCTGTCTGTCTGTCTGTCTGTCTGTCTCCCCTTCAATCATGGGGAACTCCACTCCATAATGACGGAAAAAAGGGTGTGAGTGGGGGGGGAAGAAGGGGAGAATAGGAACCCACACATTAGCAGCAACGCTTCTTCAATCTCTTCAATATCGACAAAAAAAAGTAGGTAGGCACGCATGCACGCGCACGCAAGTACGCAAAGTACACACGCACACAAGGGACCTAAGTTATGAAGAAAGACTAAGGGAACTGGCCCACGCTACACTGGAGGAAGAAAAGGATTTGGGCAGACATGTCAACAACGTACAAGATACTGACAGAGTTTGATAAAGTAGATATAGAAGTACTGCTCAAATTATAGAACAAGAGAACGCAGAACTTTTACAGTTTAAGAGTCGTAAATATTTGGAGCGGATCAGATGAACAAATTGTTCAAGCCAATTCAATACTCAACTTTATATGTCAATAGGAGAGGAAAACCGAGGTTAGTCAGTCACAGCATTGAACCCGAGGTTGAAAGGCGGGGCTTAAGAGCAGATGCACAACCCTGCAAGCTCAACAAGGTGAGTACACACACACACACACACACACACACACACACACACACACACACACACACACACACACACATACACACACACACACACGCTGGAGTATGCGGCACCAGCATGGAGTCCATATCTAGTCAATCATAAGACTAAAATGGAAAAGGTTCAAAGGTTTGCCACCAGACTAGTACCCGAGCTGAGAGGTATGAGCTACGAGGAGAGACTACGGGAATTAAACCTCACTTCGTTGGAAGACAGAAGAGTTAGGGGGGACATGATCACCACATTCAAGATCCTCAAGGGAATTGACAGGGTTGATAAAGACAGGCTGTTTAACACAAGGGGCACACGCACTAGGGGACACAGGTGGAAACTGAGTGCCCAAATGAGCCACAGAGATATTAGAAAGAACTTTTTTAGTGTCAGAATGGTTGACAAATGGAATGCATTAGGAAGTGATGTGGTGGAGGCTGACTCCATACACAGTTTCAAGTGTAGATATGATAGAGCCCAATAGGCTCAGGAACCTGTACACCTGTTGATTGACAGTAGAGAGGCGGGACCAAAGAGCCAGAGCTCAACCCCCGCAAGCACAACTAGGTGAGTACACACACACATAACACATAAAGAAACTGGAGAAGGTTCAGAGGTTTGCGACGAGGCTTGTCCCAGAGTTACGAGGGATGGGATATGAAGAGCGTCTGAAGGAACTGAACCTTACGACACTAGATAAAAGGGAGAGAGGAGATATGATAGGGACATATAAAATACTCAGGGGAATTGACAAAGTGGAAATAGATGAAATGTTCACACGTAATAATAACAGAACGAGGGGACATGGGTGGAAACTGGAAACTCAGATGAGTCACAGAGATGTTAGGAAGTTTTCTTTTAGCGTGAGAGTAGTAGAAAAATGGAATGCACTTGGGAAACAGGTTGTGGAAGCAAATACTATTCATACTTTTAAAACCAGGTATGATAGGGAAATGGGACAGGAGTCATTGCTGTAAACAACCGATAGCTAGAAAGGCGGGATCCAAGAGTCAATGCTCGATCCTGCAAGCACAAATAGGTGAGTACACACACACACACACAGGCAGAAACAAATGGGCAAAGTTTCTTTCACCCTGAATGCCTCTGTTACCTAGCAGTAAATAGGTACCTTGGAGTTAGTCAGCTGTCACGGGCTGCTTCCTGGGGTGTGTGTGTGTGTGGTGTGGGGGAAAAACAAATAGTAGTTAGTAAACAGTTGATTGATAGTTAAGAGGCGGGCCGAAAGAGCATAGCTCAACCCCCGCAAACACAACTAGGTGAATACAACTAGGTGAATACACAGCAAAGCCCCCTTCCACACACCCCACAGCAAAGCCCCCCTCCACACACACAGCAACCCCCCCCCACATCAACACACACAACGCCTTCAAGGTAAAACTTTAGATATTCACAGAGCTTGGTCAAGACGTTCTGGGATTCACAGATCGCGCTTAACGTCTCCATGATGAGGTGAGGCTGTAATAATGACCATTTATTTAATGAGAACCGTAAGAGAACTAGAGAGGAGGGGGGGGGATGGTGGTGATGGGGGGAAAGTGAGGGAGGGGGTTGGGGAGGGTGGTGAAGGGGGGGGGGAGTGAGGGAGGGGGGTGCGGGGATAGGGAGGGCTAGAAGGGGGTGGTGGTGGGGGGGGGTGAACGAGTGGAAGCAACCCGTCCTCCTAATAGAACGTCGCATTTTGACGTATACTCTAAGGCAAAAAAAAAATGTATTAAAAAATGAGAGCTATCCTATCCTGCTATCCTTCCGTCCCTCCTCCACAGGGACGGAGGGATTGGTGAGGAGGGGTATGGGTGAGTGAAGGGGTGGGTGAGGGGAGATCAGGCGGAGAACGAGCGATGAGGGAAATGCAGAGAGGGGGATGATATGGAAGACGAGGGAAGCGTATGGAAGAGGTAAGAGAGGAAGGGGAGGGAGAGGGGGAGGGAGAGCGGGAGGGAGAGCGGGAGGGAGAGAGGGAGGGAGGGAGGGAGGGAGGGGGAAGGAGAGTCAATGTATGAGGACCCCTCATACATTGACATGTATGAGGGGTCCTCATACATGTCAATGACTGCTTCTCTCACTAAACAAGAAGTGTCAACTTTATTCATGAACAGGTCTATCACCACCACCACCAGCATCACCACCACCACAATCACCACCACCACCACCACCACAATCACCACCACCACCACCACAATCACCACCACCAGCATCACCACCACCACCACCAGCATCATCACCACCACCACCACAATCACCACCACCACCACCACCACCACCACCACCACCACCACCACAATCACCACCACCACCACCACAATCACCACCACCACCACCACCAGCATCATCACCACCACCACCACAATCACCACCACCACCACCACCACAATCACCACCACCACCACCACCACAATCACCACCACCACCACCACCACCACAATCATTACCAGGACCACCATCATCACCAATACCACCAACAGCACCATCACCACTACCAGCACCACCACCATCCACCGGTTGCAAGATGAAAGGTCAGAGGAAAAACTGGATGACAATGTATAGTCCCTCTAGAGGAGATAAAGAAACACCTGGAGGTACTAGACGCAACAATATCAACAGGACCAGTCCTAATATCACCCTGACTGCTGAAGGAAGCTGCAGCGCCACTCTCTCACCCACTGACTGTAAATTTCGATAAAAAACTTGAGAGTGGAAACCTCTCAGAATCTTGGACAAAACGTAGTCCCAATATTCAGATATAAGGGGACTGACAGGAGGCACTGTACTACAGTACTAGTGTCAAGAATAAGTATTATATAAAACTGCTTGAGAGTGATCAGATGGATAACAATTGAGCACATAGAGAGGATAAACGCAGCATGGATTTAGAAGGGAAAGTCATGCCTGACAAACTTAATAGATTTGTATGACAAGAAATACAACAGAAAAAGGAAGGCTGAGAAGACTATTTTATCTCAGATGCCTAAAAAAAGCATCTGATATTGTCTCATTTGAAAGACTAGAGAACAACAGGAGGGAAAAGCAGGCAGAAATAACTACGATGACACTAAGCTGGGTTAGGGAGTACCTGAAGGACAGAAAACATTAAGAGAGGTTGGAATTGAATCCCAACAAGTGTAAGGTAATGAAGATAGGAAAGAGAGAAGGGAGATCAGGAGATATCTACACCACAAGTAGAAAGCAACTATAGGAGTTGGAGAGAGAGAAAAAGACTTGGGAGACACACACAAACAGGGTAACATCAGCAGCATGTGAGATGCTGGTAAACATCACAACGTCGTTTAGAAACATCAACCAAGACTCACGGCAATCTACACAGCTTATTCCAGATCAACACTGGAATATACAGCACCGGCCTGGAATCCGCATCTTGTCAAACATAAAACCAAAACTGAAACGTACAAATGCTTCCAACAGAACTAGTACCGGAGCTAAGAGAGCTGAGCTATGAGGAGAGTTAAATTAACTAT